ACGTAGGAAAAAAAAAAAAGAAAAAAAAAAAAGAGGCAAAGCACGTGAATTACCCCTAAAATTAGGATAATCCACCGAAGGAGCCAGCATAAGGTTAAAATTGTAAGTACAAAAAATAAAAATCGGAGCAGAGAACAATAGTCAACTAAAGAAAAAATTGGTGTGACAATTCTTTTTCAGGGTGTGACAATGACTCCGATTGCTCTTTGTCCTATCCTATATATGGTTCATTTTATACTTTCAATTTACAATTTTAACCCTATGTGTACTTACAATTTTAACGCTATGTTGTCTTCGTATTGATCACGTCTTAGGGTTAAAATTGTAAGTACGAAAAGAAACAAAGAAAGAAGCGACCAGAGGAATCTAAAGTAAAAATTGGTGTCGCAATTATCTTTTAGGGTGGGACAATGACTGTGGGTCCATCCTGCCCCACAAACCGGCCCCGCCTTCCCTATATTATATAAACACCCCCTGCCTCTTCCCCGCCCCCAACCCCACCTCCAATCTCACCCCACTTCACCTCTTCCCCTCCACGCAACTTCAATGGCAGACCCCTTCATGAATAAATTCTACAGCCAGAGCCAACCTTCTGCCTCCAAACCCACCAAGCACCCAGCAGCTTCGTCCACCGACTCATCTCCGAGACGTTTTCCTTGCCTCTACTGTCCCCAGGAGTTTGCCACCTCTCAAGCTCTCGCCGGCCATCAGAATGCTCACAAGCGCCAGCGAGCCGCTGCTGCTCGGCCAAACTTTCCGGCCAACAACCTGCAGAAAATTTGGTATTTACCCAAGAGAGTTACCCCGCCTTCCGGCTGTTGCTGTGGAAGCAGGTCCCTACTTCCTCTGTTCCCCTCTTATCCACAGCAACAACCCATCTCATCCATACCATTTCCCCACTTTCCGGACATGTCCCATCCCGTGGGTGCAGCCGTGTTTGTTGAGAAGTGGCTGGAGCCCATCCAGCCGCAGCCACAGCTGCACCAGGACCTGAACCTTGCTTCCAACTCGGTTCCTCGGAGCTTTCTGGGCGTTTCGACTGCTGATGCTCTCTCCACTACCACTGATGTGGATGATTCTGCCGATCTGGACCTCACCCTCCGCCTGTGAAGGGCTTTAGACTGAATGGTGATGAAGATATACATATATAAATTAATGCTGGTTTTATTAATAAAATGGGTTTTTAAGTTTAATGATGAGAGTTTGTTGGCATCAATCCCCTAATTCTAGTTCTCCCCAGCATGAGAGTGGTCTGTCAGCAGGAAACACTATTTTTGTTGATATATAGGTGGACTGGGGAGAAGTCTTTTATGTTTTATGTGTAGGAGTATACTCCATTAAATAAAGAATATTTTGCTGTCCTAAAAAAAAAAAAAATGTATGTATGGATCTCTAAGGGTAACGAATATATATTTCTGTAATTCGATCAGCATTAGAGATTAATTTCATGGGATGCTTAATCTGTACTTGAATATTGGTTTTTTAATTATTTTTGAATAACATGAGAAAAGAAAAATATATACAAACCTTAATTTGTTCTATTAATTGAAATAAATAAGATGGCTTTTCTCACCGAAATCGTGTTAGCCGCCTTGATTCGGCCGTTGACTGTGGTTTAATGTTAGTTTCCGATAACTTTAATAGGTTATGTGGATTAATTTTTTTGAAACAGTTATTTAATAATTAATAATTGTTGATATTTATAATTTATATTAAAATAAAAAAGTAGACATATTCAAAGGAAGGTGTATAGTCTCAATCTCCTTGAAGCATATTCCGGTGTCCATTTCATCATTCCAGAATTCTTGAGCATTTATAACAACGCTGACCCTGATTCTCTATTTCACTTTCAACATTTTTTGTTTTGTAGTTGACGCCTCTTTGCTGTTTCTGAAGGAGGCAATGCAAATTAAACCCCTTCTTCTGCATCTTTTCTTCTTATTCTCCATTTTTTCCACAATATAAAGGCTAAACCCCATATTTATTTGCTTCTATACATTTTTCTTTCTATGATTAACATTCTAAACTAATTTTTTTTTATTAACGTTTTTCATAATTTGAAATTTGCAAAAAATCCAAAAGTGATCGGTAAAACTCTTTATTTTCATCTTGATTTTATTAGTAATTTAAGATTTTTTTGTGGATTTTGAAATTATTGAGAGTGTTAACTAGGAATAAAATTAATTTAAGATGTTGATTATAAAAAAAAAAAAAAATCTAAGGGTAAATAGGTGTTTTGGCCCAATATAAAAATCTCTTCCATCTCGTTTTTTTATTTACAGCAAAAATCCATTGAAAGAAATCCAGCTGAATAATGCAGCGTGTATAAGTTGATCATGGAGATCGATAAAGCAATCGGAGAAAGTGATGACAGGAGGCTGTGATAACTTCTTAGAAACAGAAAAAAAAAAAGAGAACTTTTGTTATTTTTATTATATATATACAAAGGTCATTTATTTAAATTTATATAATAAAATATTTTAAATATAAAATTAATTAATTTAAATATATACAATCAATTATAATGTAAATATAATATTTTAAAGTAAATATTAGTATTCTAACAATTCAAAATATCTAACTGGTTGGATTAAAATTAATAGTTTATAATTGTTTTAAAAAAAATTAAAACAACAAAAGCCCCTTGAAGCTAGAGAGGTCGATTCTGCCTTGTCACCAACTTGAGCTGAGTCAACTCAGACCGAGTGACGCGGCCAGCCTAGGTAGGTTGTTGCGGTCTGCCGGTGGGGTCGTGGATTTTCCTGTTTCTGGGACCTATGATCCGTCTCCTGTTGGGTAATTCTATGGGGGTGAAAACCTGTAGAAGGAATTGAAAGTAGGATTGGCTTTCATTAACATAACGATGCAGCCTAGTTTGAGATTTTCATTTTTAATTAGTACTGATACATATTATTTTTATATAAATGTATCAAAATAAAATTTAATTACATATAAATTTTATATATTAAATTTATATAAATTTTAATTAATTTTTTTATTTTTAATAATAAAAGGAATTGAAAGTAGGATTGGCTTTCATTAACATAACGATGCAGCCTAGTTTGAGATTTTCATTTTTAATTAGTACTGATACATATTATTTTTA